CTTCAAGGTGGGTCAACAAGTGGGTCAGGGGGGAGAAGTGGGTAAGATTTGGGCATTATAACCCATTCATATCTCTCAGTTTTACATTATATTCTATAAATAATTAATCAGTATAAATAATAATAATATGAAATAATAATTCTAATTAAAGAATGTAAAGTGTGTCACTAATAGGAGATAATTGACCCAATAATTTTTGTAAGTGTAGGTGTATAAATAATAATAATTAGAAATATTAATTCTGTCTCTTATACACATCTAGATGTGTATAAGAGACAGCCCTCTCCCTCCCCTCTTTCCCCACCCCCTCCCACTCCCCTAATGGTGCTGGTCTCCCCCAGGCAGTGGCCTACCTCCCCACGGCCGCGGGGATTTACTCCATCAACATCACATTCAACGACGAGCACATCTGCGACTCCCCATTCACATCCCACATTTTCCCCACATCCCCCGCCTCATCCCCACGCCCCAAACTGCCTCCCCACCACCGGGATGACATCATACCCACCTCCTCCCCCTACTCCCCCAGCCACAGACGACTCCCCCATAGGGATGACGTGGTCCCCACGTTTTCCCCATACTCCCCCAGCCACAGACGCCTCCCCCACAGGGATGACGTGATCCCCACGTCCTCCCCATACTCCCCCAGCCACCGACGGCTCCCCCACAGGGATGACGTGATCCCCACGTCTTCCCCTTACTCCCCAAGCCACAGACGACTCCCCCATAGGGACGACGTGGTCCCCACGTGTCCCCCCATGGGGAGGAGGCCTCCCCATGGGGAAGTTTGCAGCGCCGTAGCGGTGTCGGGGAATGGCGTCCTGCGCGACGGTGAAATTTTGTGAAATTTTTTGAATTTTTGTGAATTTCTGTGAAATTTTTGTGAAATTTATTATCTTGGTAGAAAATTTGTGTTAAAATTTTATTTTCGAATATTAAAAAAAAATAATTTTTAAATTTAATTTTAAAATAAAAAAAAATATTATTCTCAAAGTTATTTATTCTGCCAATTGATCAATGCATTGTCTCCAACTTTACGCAAGTGTGCAAAATTTCAGATCGATTTTACAATTAGAAATTTGTTAAATATTGATTATAAGAGAAGTTTTGTAATAAAAAACGGTATGTGTAGATTGTTTGTTTTCTACTAAAAAATTTATTAAATTTCTTATTAGTATTTTTTAAATAACGAGTATTTTTGCGTTTTAACCGGACTAATTTTTTTTTGTTTCCTGCCAAAAAAAAAGTTTTGTGTTTCTTTTCGTTTCTTTTTCTTTAAAACATAATAATTATATTGAATATTAATTATTATAATAATGTATAATAATTTGTTAAAATTATTCAAAATTAATGTTCATGTAGGAAAATGTTAACCGAGCTTAGTTTTGATCAATATTAAATAATATTATTAACAAAAATAATCATATAAATAATGAATAATTTTCTGTGTTATTTATTTCTGTATTTCTGTGTTGTTTTTTTATTGTATTTAACAGCAACTGACGCCCAAAATTTATTATTTTGAAATATTTATTAATTTGAAATTTATTATTTTTGTAATCAAATATAATATTCAAATTTAAATAAATTGAAATTTATAATAATTATTAACATATATAATTATTATAAACAAATTTATTTACTAGCCTTTTTTCAAATTAATACATTTGAAGAAGTTGAAAATGTATTTTTCTCTGTGTGAAATATTTTTATGTGTACTTTCATGTCTTTGTCTGTATTTGTATATTATTGAGTGTATTTGTATATTTTATGCAAGTTTGACTAATGACCAGAGCAGTTTTTTTGTCTGTATGAAGTTCTTTTTTATTTATTTGTTTATTTGTATGCATTTGTATATTTTCCAGAGCAGTTTTTTTTATTTGTGTGAAATATTTTCATGTATTTCTTTATTTTGTATGCATTTGTATATTTTCGAATTTATTTGTATATTTTTGAGTGTATTTTTATACTTTATTCAAGTTTGACTGAAGACCAGAGCAGTTTTTTCTGTGTGAAAATTTTTTTATTTATTTGTTTATTTTGTATGCATTTGTATATTTTTGAATTTATTTGTATATTTTTGAACCTATTTGTATATTTTATGCAAGTTTGATTGGAGACCAGAGCATGTTTTTTATTAATAATCTTTTTTTTTTCAATTAGTCGAAAAAAATTTTTTGCAGCAAAAAATTTTTTGCAAAAAAATTTTTTTGCTGACAAAAAGCAGATTACCAAATATTTTTTATTTTATATTTTTGTATAATTTTTGTCAGATTATATTTTTAATTTATTTATTATTATCAATGTTATATTTTTATATAATATACAATATTATATACAATTTTTATATACTTTTGGACATGACAGCATGCAAATCAAAGTATTTTAAGTACAGTTTAGAATCTATTTTTTTTTTGAAAAATTTTTTTTGAAAAATTTTTTTTTAAAAAATATTTTTTCAAAATATTTTTTATTTTTATTTAATTTTTTTTTTATGTAAGGCAATAACTTTGAATTATTCATCGGTAAAAATTAATGCTATAAATTCTAATTTGAGATAAAGTATAATTGAATAACGATCAGGTTTTTATAATATAACAAATAATAACTGTAAAATAACTAATTACAATGATAATTAACTAGGGTAATTAGTTTAATTCATATCGATCTTCTATACATTTATATTATATTATATTTTAATATATTATGTTATATTATATATACAAGATCTACACGCCCTTTGAGGAAGGTAGGATACAAGATATCCTACGTGTAGGATACAAGATATCCTACACGCCCTTTGAGGAAGGTAGGATACCTTAGGACCCTGTGTAAGTTTAGGACTTCCTAGTCCCCGGTCACGCTGATGCGCCGCCTTCGCCGTCCTCCGTCTCCGAGTCGTCGTCGGATGTAACGTTGGACGTGTTCCGTCTATTTGTCCTCAGTTGGGCCAGCTGATGCCCTCAGTTGGGCCAGCTGTGGCCCTCAGTTGGGCCAGCTGATGCCCTCAGTTGGGCCAGCTGTGGCCCTCAGTTGGGCCAGCTGATGCCCTCAGTTGGGCCAGCTGTGGCCCTCAGTTGGGCCAGCTGATGCCCTCAGTTGGGCCAGCTG